ACTGTAATGACCTTAATTTCAACTTGGTTATCTCTATAAAAACCCTGTCTACAAATAAGATCACATTCTGAAGTGCTGGGAGTTAGGATTTGAACGTGTCTTTTGGGGGACACCACTCAACTCCCAACTGTCCTCCCTGATCTCAGGTGCTCAGTCTGTACAGTATGACCCAGAGGTCCTGTTTTGCTAAGGGAAGATGTTTCATTCTACCGACACCCTGCCCCTTTAAGAGATGCAATGATTTCATCTACTTGACTTCAAGAGTTATTTTAAAGCTAGAGTAATCAAGATAATGGATTTGGCAGAAAAAAAAAAGACATGTAGAGCAATGGATTATAATAGAGTCCAGAAACAGTTACTTTTTTTTTTTTTTGAGAAAATTTACATTCTTTTTTATTGGTACAAAGTTTTCCAAATCCATTATTGAGACATTTCAATTTTTTCAAAAATGTACAAGCACTTCAATGGAGAAACCTACTTCACTCAAAAATCAGTGGATGGGATCGTATACCTGAACATACAAGCACAGTTCTCTTTGTAAATCCATGTTTTAAAACATAGGTGAAGATCTTCATGACCTTGAGGTTGGCAAAGACTTCTCACCAGGACACAAAAAAGCACTAACCATAAAAGGCACGGGCACGAAGCCACAGACCCAGCAAAGGCTTCTGACCAGGGGGAAGCATGCGCCTGAGGAGCCCAGGAATGGGGAGTTCTGTTCTATAAAGACAAGCACTCAAGAAATGGCGGCTCTTTTTATTATTATTATTAATAGGGATTTCGAGACTCAGAGCAGTCAGAGGGGAGGCATGGGTAGGGAAGGGAGTAAACAGAGGCAAGCCTCAGGACAATGATGGGCGCTGGCAAAATGCTCTCTTTTTGAATTGAAGTGCAAGTGATGACTTCTTTGAGGTCTTACTTGGGCAGGAAGTGGGGGAGGGTTCCTCTTCACTTGGGCATCAGGTTTACCTCTCCTAAAAATCTGCCTGAGGTGGGTGACTGGGTGTCCAAATTCAGGGTCCAGAAATAGGTATTTGAAAGGTCTCCATTTTTGCTCAAAGGATTGGGGGCTCAGAGAAGTTAAAGTCACACTACAGCTGAGTGGCCATGGGAACAGCCAACCTGAATCACTGTAAAATACTAAAAAGGGTTATAAATGCAAGCTCCTCTGGTTCAGTTTCAAACTTTACTAGAAGACCTTGCTAAAAATAAATTGCTTGGGTGGGTTTCAGTGACTTGCATTTTAACAAAAACCTCTGGAAATTCTGATGCAGAGGAGGAGGTAACTCTGGTGGTGGTTAATGTTTTAATGTCCTGTACTACTACTTACTGGCTCTCTGTCCAGTTTTCTCATCTCTATTATAGTAACAGTAACACCATGAGTGGTTGTAAGAAATTTCCGGCTTTTATGTAATATACTCAATACAATAAAATAATAATAAATAAGATAATTTAATATATAATATGAATATATAATTAATATATACTTCTATTTAGCCCTGGCTGAGTAAGTAGTTCAGTTGGTTAGAGTGTCATCCCGATACACCAAGGTTTCTCGGGTTTGAACCCCAGTCAGGGCACATACAAGAATCAACCAATGGCGCTGGCCAGTTTGGCTCAGTGGATGGAGCATCGGCCCGTGGGCTGAGGGTTCCAGTTTGATTCCGGCCGAGGGCACATGCCTGGGTTGCAGGCTCCCAGTGGGGGGCGAGCCAGAGGCAGCTGATCAATGATTCTCATCATTGATGTTTCTATCTGTCTATTCCTCTCCCTTTCTCTCTAAATCAATAAAAAATTTTTAAAAATCAACCAATGAATTCATGAATAAGTGGAACAACAAAGAGATGTTTCTTCTCTCAAAATAAAAATAAAATAGAATGGAAAGTGGGCATCTTATAAATAATATATACTTCTATTTAAATATATTTTGTTATATATTTATATAAATTATCTAATAATAAAAGGCTTAAAATAGTGCCTGTCATTGGTAAGTACTACTTAAGTAAATGCTAACTATTTTTCCCTTATATGATGGTCTGACCAGCCCTGGGCTGTGTCCATTGGGCAAAGTGGTGCAGCTGGTTGTAACAGCCCTTTCAGTTGGATCTTTACTATACCCTCATGTACAGTTGATTGAAAAATTCGATTTGGTTTCGGGATATAAACTCCAAAAGGCTGAGAGCACACCTCCTGGCCACTAGGGAGAGCCACACAGGATGGTTGGAGGCACTTCAGGGATAGGCACCCTGGGTTCCAAATATGATTCTTCGCTGGCTCCTCTGGTGTCCTCTCACAAGGTGCTTTTTCTCCAGGGCCTCAGTTTCTCCATCTGTTAAATAGGTGTTCGGAATGGGTTGCCCATCTCATGGTCACACCTGGCTCTAATATGGTGGGGGAAAGCTACTAACCGCATAGGCCTTTCTGGACTTTAGGACCCTAGGTTGAGAGACAGGTTCCCCTTACATCTGGATGGCACTTTTATTATTACTTATTTTTCCTCTGTGCAGATGGTGGGATTCAAGCCCCGGAGAATTCAAAGGAGGAGGGATGGGCATGATAGAGGAGCAGGAGAAAGGAAACCTGGTCCCACCCCACCTCCCCAAACCCCTTACTGAGTTCCCTCACCCCAACCCCCACCCTCCCAAAACCCTACTGAGCTCCCATCCTTCTGTTCTCCTTAATCAGCAAATCTCTCCTCCCAGCTTCCAGCCTCTTCCCCTTTTAGACCAACTGGCCCCCCTCAGGCCCTATCAGACTCTAAATGCTGCGTGTACCAACTCTGAGCTGGGGTTTCTTCCAACCAAGACCATTTCATGATTTCATTCATTACACATTTTCTATGGGGGGGTCTGTGGTGTGCCAGATCCTTTGAGAGGCCCTTGGGTGGTAGCAAAATTTAAACACACGTGAACTCTGAACTCAGAACACTCATCTGTAGGGCAGTGGACGGCACGGACAAACTGGTCAGTACATAATCTAGGTGATTCCAGATACTGTAGTGACCAGAGCTCTAAAGGGAATAAAACACCAGGGGAGGGGCTCTCTTTGGAGGTGATACTGGAGCTGAGACACAGATGGTAAGTGGAGGGAGGAACAAGTACAACGGCCACCAAAGAAACAAGTCCAGAGGGATGAGATTTCAAGTTTCAAGTTCCCTATCCTAGAGTCCCTAAAAACAGAAAGGTCTCTGGGGGAATCTCCTAAGACTTTTTTTTTTGGGAAGGGGTGCTTCCGTTTTATCCCTAGGTGAGTGGAGGGGCGCGCTCTAGTGGTGACAACAGTTACATTTCACTCGGCTGACCTGGAAGGCCACTCATTCCTGTATCTCCTACCCGTGCAAGAAATATTTACTGAGCGCCATGTGTACCGAGTGATATTCCAGATGCTGGGGGTAAGAATTCGACAAATAAGGATCCTGCCTTCCTGGAGCTGACATCCTAGGGGACAACTCTCAGCCCAGTATTTACTCCCACCTCACCTCTGTCCCCCACTATCCTGCAGCTAAATTGGCCTCCTCATGGCTCCGGCTGATGCGGGGTCTTTGCACTTGCTGTTCCTTTCCCTCTGGAATACAGGTCCCTGGTTCAGATCTCAGCTCAAATATGACCAAGCAAGAAAAGTGTGAACCTGCTGAAACCGGTTTGGCTCAGTGGATAGAGCCTTGATCTGAGGACTGAAAAGTCCCAGGTTCGATTCCGGTCAAGGGCATGTACCTTGGTTGTGGGGCACATCCCCAGTAAGGGGTGTGCAGGAGGCAGCTGGTCGATGTTTCTCTCTCATCGACGTTTCTAGCTCTCTATCCCTTTCCCTTCCTCTGTAGAAAATCAATAAAATATATATTTTTAAAAAGTGTGAACCTATTTTGTGTGTTTACTGCCTTGTTCTCCTCACTAAAATGTAAAATTCCATGCAAGCGATCATCTTCCTTGGAATCTTCAGCCTCGCACTTAATGAACATCTGTTGAATTGGATGTGTTACAGGGTGCCGGCGCGGCCTATTCTGTGTCTTGTGTCAGACGCTGGTGAATTGTAAGTGAACGAGCCGGACAAAAAAGACTAAAAAAAAAAAAAAAAAAAATCTCTACCCAGAGCATTCTAAATTTAAAATTGCAGCCCAGTCCACCCCCTTTACTCTGCTTTATTTGTTTCTATACATGTATTATACTACCTTCTAAACTATTCTCATTTACTTCTTGGCATGTCTCCGCAACTCGAACGCACGCTCCACGAGGGCAGTGGATCTTGCCCACTTGGTTCAGCATCACCCCACCCTCACTCGGGGCCTAGGACGGTGTTGGCGTTCAGTCGACGGTCCATCAATACAGAATGAACTCTAGGTCTCAGCCTGCTTTTTCCTGCAGACTTTGAGCTACCTTGTTCCAAGAGGAAAACGGGCCTCAGGAACCGCCCAGAGGTTGACCTCAGGCGACTCGACCGAGGAGTCCGAAGTCCTGGAGGAGGGCCATCAGAGCAGCTGAGGAGAGCGGAGGCGCCGGCCGCCGGAGCCCGGCGGGGCCCCGAGACCCGCGGCCCTTCCAGGAAGAGGCGCGGGCGCTCGCGGCTTCGCGCCAGGGACTGTGTGGGCGGTGCCGTCGGAGGAGAGTCACGTGACTCGCGCAGACACCGCCCACCCGTCCTGGGTGGGCGGGCTGCTTGGTGGGCGGGGCGCATGCAAATAAGCCGGAGGCGTCAGCCAATCGCGGCGCGCGCCGAGGGTCCGGGCAGCGCGGGGGGGATCTGGGACGCTGGCTCTGGCGCAAGCTTGCGTCGCAGCCGCCCGTGATTTTGCTCGCGGCGGCGCTGCGTGCGTGCGGGCTGCGGCGGCCGCTGCTCGTCGCCCTCTTCTGCGTCCTCGGCGGCCGGCCGGTCGCGCCAGGCCAGATCCGCGCGCGAAGGACAGGCGGCGGCTGCCGGAGGCGGAGGCGGAGGTGCGGCGGGAGGGAGTGGGGCCCCTGCCTCCGCTGGCGCCCGGGCCGGCCCGCGCCTTTGCAGCGTGCTCCATGCATCCGGAGGCCGCCCCGCCCCCGAGCAACAACAGTCCCGAGCTTCCCCTCAGCGGCTGCAGCACCACCAGCGGCAGCCACCGGAGCCGCCGCCGGAGCGGGGACGGGGAGCCCCCAGGGTCGCCGCCGCCGCCGCCGCCCGCCGTCACCTACCCGGACTGGATCAGCCAGAGTTACTCCGAGGTGATGAGCCTCAACGAGCACTCGATGCAGGCGCTGTCCTGGCGCAAGCTCTACTTGAGTCGCGCCAAGCTCAAAGCCTCCAGCCGGACTTCGGCTCTGCTCTCCGGCTTCGCCATGGTGAGCGCGGGCCGTCCTGCCCTGCCCTGCCCTGCCCTGCCCTGCCCCCTCTCCCCTGTCCTGGCGGCTCCCGCCCGCCCGCAGCCCGGACGACGGGGCCCATGGGGCGGCAGGCCGGGCGGGCCGGGCGGGTGAGGGTGAGAAGAAGGCTGTCGTGGACGGGAGGTGAGGTGGCGGCAAGGGACACCTGATGTGGGCGATCGGGCGTCCTGCAAATGTCCAGAGTTGGGGCTGGGGGCTCAGGTGCCTTTAGATGGGCAAGTTGGATGCAGCAAGGAGGGGGAAGCAGCAGGATCCTCGAAGTAGGTCTGCAAGAGCACCCACCATCCCGCATCTGTGGGAGGGGGTGGGGAGGAGCGGAAAGGAAGGGCAGCAGGCGTCTGATCTCCTTGGGAGCAGGTGTCTGGAGGTGGGGAGAAGGAGATGAACCCCCGAGTTCTCTCGTTCTTCACCCCCCGCCTCACTTTCTCACTTTCTCGCCCGTCCTTACACTTGAGGCCAGAGGTATTGGCCACGTTCTTTTATCACCTCGTTAGTGAAGGGGATTTCCTGGCACCCTTACTCCTACCGCCTTTGCCTAGAGCCTCAGGCGGGGGTTTGACAGCCACTCCGCCGCTCTCAGTTTCTTCTCCAGCAACTTGCCGTGAATGGGCTCTTTCTGGGCTTTGGGGGTAGGCATGCACCGTCTCCTCTCCCCGTGCAGGGCTGCGTTGTAGTGAGAAAGGGGTGGGGTAGGTGAGGCTGCTGGCCGGGCAGAGAGGTGGCCCCTGGGATGCCTTCTGGCCTGGAATCTTGGAGTCTCCCAGGGCTGGGTGCTGCCGAACACTTCTTGATTATCTGCCTGCATGCATAGGGGACCCCCCCCCCCACACACACACACACACAGCAGAGCACTGCTGCTTGTCAGCAAGTGAGCTCAGCCTTTAGCCTTGAGGGAGGGAGTGGCTGCGCCCTTTGTGTTTTCTCGGGAAGGGAGTACGTCTGGTACTCTCCCAGCGTTCTGCAAAACAAGTGGGCCACGACCGTGGAGCCTGAACTTTTAGAAGCTCTGGTCAGGGCGCAGCCAGCCCCGGTGCAAACGGCCCGTGGTGAGGGTGGGAAGAGGTCTCTGAGCTCTGCCACTTGCTGCCTGTGTGACCTCAAGCATTGCCCTCTCTTGATTACCGAGTTGGTGCACGAAGGAGCCACTCAAGTTTCTCTGACTTCACTTGATTTTAGCGATGTAGTTTCTCTGACTTTAAGAATTAATTGAAGGAGAAAGGGAGAGGGAGGGAGAGAATGTATAAGGGAGTGGCACTCTATTTTTTAGTTTAGGCTGATGTGATGAAATTCTTCTTTATCAGTGCCAGATTCCAAGAGACTAGTCTCTGCCTTTGCCTGAAGATTGTAAGAAGAGCCGACGTTTGCCAAGCGCTCACTATGTCCATGGCATTGTGTGAGGTTCCCTAACTTCTGCACTAACTCCTTCACCACCCTTTGAGGTGATTTTGTCATGGGACTTCCCACAGCCATTCAGCCAGTCTGCTGGCGTGGGATTTGAACCTAGGTTGGCTGGCACCCAGAACTCTCTTGGGCACTTTTGTCATTTGTGTGTATGGAGCTCTGATTAATGCCCAGTCAGGTATAGAACCAGACCTCCTAGAGAATGAGAAGCAGAGCAGACCATTTTTATTTTTAAAGTTTGTGTGTGTGTATAAGTGTGTGTTTACTGATTTGAGAAAGAGAGAAACATCACTTTTGTTGTTCCATTTATGCATTTGTTGGTTGCTTCTTGTAAGTGCCCTGACGGGATTGAACCCAAATATCGGGACGACATTCTAACCAACTGAGCTACTCGGCTAGGGCCAGAAAAGGATATATATTTTTTTTTTAAAGCAAAATAGACTTTTACAGTTTGGGGGAAGGGAGTGACACCAGCGATTATCAGCTCTTTCCGGTAGTGCTCTGAAGATAGTGGGATTCCTGTTCCCCTTTTTCTTGCGGTCATAAGTTGCCCAGGCCCCTTTCCCACTCCAGGAAAAGTGAGGATCAATGGGTGATAGATAACTCTCCTGCCTTCTCTAGTGCTTTCTTCCTCTCAAGGAAGCAGGCTTTCTAAACAAATGTCACCTCCCTCTTCCTCTTACTAAAAACTGCTGGGGAAGTAGGAGGCAGGGTCAGGCAGTGGCATTGGGTGGGCCTTGGCTCACAGACTATCTCTTAGGGACCTTTATTTTCCCAAGTCTGGGAGGCAAAGACTTCCTGGCTCTGTTGGTGGAATTTCCCCCCACACCCCCAAGTTCTGCCAGCAGGAAAGGGCTGAATCCCATGACAGCCTCCATTCTGGGGGAGCAGTGACCAGAGAGGGTAACTGTGTTTGCCATGTGCCTGGAAATCTATGGCAGAGATGGGATTGGGATGGCAAAAAAAGCACTCAGCAGGGCAAGTCTGCCTGCACCCCACCTCCACCACAGACACCCCGCCTTGTGAGTGAGCCTCTGAGGGGAAGGGGTGCCACACAGCCTAGCACCATGGAAACATAGTGAGTGAGTTTCCTGGACTACTCTCCCTTTCCTGTGAGTCAGCACTATCAACTGCCTGCCCCCCTCGGGCTTCCTTCCTAGAGATCTGAAAAAGTAAAGGAGCTACTGTGACCTTTGATCCCCAGGGATAGAGTTATCAGGGATGCCAGGCTCACCTAGTCTCCAGGTTGAAATGGAGGGATTGAGAGACCTCCCCCCTCCCCAGTGGGTGGGAGAGCCTGGCCAGGTGTCCTCATGTGCTAGGAAGGTAGGCCAGACAGGCCGTGGGACCTCAGACAAGCGGCTTTCCTCTTTGGGGCCCGTTTTCTCGTATTTACAGAGGGAGTACATTCCTCTCCCTGCCACTTGCCTGAGGGCCCATTACATGCCAGGTTGAAGAATTTTCAGCATCTGATGATGTGATGATGTATGTACCCTCTAGTCTGCAGACAAGATTCCCACTCCTGATGGCATTTCTAGAAAGAACAGGCCTTGTCTGAGCTCAGCATCCAGACTCTGCCCAACGGGGCCTGGATGTAGCACAGGATCGACATCCTGCAGGTGCTCTTGAGCCACAGGCACCCACGGGGGCTGTGATTCAGGCCATCTGTGCCTCGGTTTATCTCTCAGTGAGAGGCTGCCAGCCTCGGCCCGACTCCGTCACTTTTAAAGGATTGTGGCGAGCACACGTGGCAATCTTGGTTTTGTGGGGAGGGCAGGCTGTAACGTTAGCCTAAGCAGAAGATAATTGGGAAGGTCAGCCTGCTGCCGTAAACAAAATGCTTTCCACGACCTGGGATCAATTATTTTTGGATTATCTTCCTCCTCAGGTTCTCTGCCCGCCAGCACCCTTTTGTTCCCAGGTTCCAGAATGGGTTCAGAAGTTGCTTGGAATTTGTGTGAAAAATGAGTTGGGAGGTAGGGCTCAAATCATAAGACAGGGAGCCTCTTCGACATGTTCAGAATCCAGGGGGCAAGGAGATGAGTAAGAAATTACTATCCTTTCTCATAGTGCTCATTACTAGTAGCGATCATTGCTATGGTTGCTTAGGCTCTTGTAAGAGGCCTGACCTTGTGCTAAGTATTGTGTTTGTACCATGTCTGTGATCTTCACACAACCTAGGGAAGGTTGAATGGCTTGCCTGAGGTTACCTGGCCAATAAGCTGCAGAAGCTTGTGTCCATGGTGTAGTGTCATTGCTATAGGACTCAAAGTAAGAACCAGGCATCTTAGGTTCAAATCCCAGCTCTTCCACTTAACGACTGTGAGATCCTGGGGAAGTCACTTAATGTCTCTGGGTCTCAGTTTCCTCCTCTATAAAATGAGGGTAGTGGTACTGTGTTTCCCCGAAAATAAGACATCCTCCGAAAATAAGACCTAGCGCATGGAAAGATAAGACATCCCCTGAAAATAAGATCTTGCACAACTTTGGGAGAAAAAAAATTAATATAAGACACTGTCTTATTTTCGGGGAAACATGGTAGTACCAACCTCATGGGGTGGGGTGAGGAGTCATTAAATTAGTACAGACTTAAAGTGGTTTGATTGAACAGAGTTTTCGACTTTATGATGGTGCAAAAGTGATATGGATAACAAATTACATGAGGTATTCAACACTTTGTTATAAAATAGGCTTTGCATTAGATGATATTGTTCAATCATAAGGCAGTGTAAGCGTTCTGAGCACGTGTATGGTAGGCTAGCCTAAGCTGTGATGTTCGGTAGGTTACGTGTATTAAATGCAGTTTTTGACTTGTGATATTTTCAACTTGAAATTGACTTATTGGGATGTAATCCCATTGTAAGTTGAGGAGCATCTCTGTATCTGCAAATCACTTTAGAATATATCTGGCTCGGATACCCAGGAATCTTGCTCACCCTTGTTCTCCTGGTGTTGGGACTGCTTTTACTAGGATAACTGTTTTTGGAAGAATGTAATTCCAGCTAAACCTTGAGGGTGGCTTGGGGAAGAACTCTCTGATCGGAGGAAGTGTTACAGGGTCTCAGGGCAAGGCAGAGCTGGAGTTGGTGTGTGGAAAGTAGTAGAGGAAGCCCTAGCCGTTCCTTGGACAGAGCGTCGGGCTGTGGACTGAAAGGTCCCAGGTTTGATTCCAGTCAGGGGCACATGCCTGGGTTGTGTGCTCAATCCCCAGTAGGGGGCATGCAGTAGGCAGCCAATCATTGATTCTCTCTCATCATTCATGTTTCTATCTCTCCCTCTCCCTTCCTCTCTAAAATCAATAAAAAATATATTTAAGAAAAGAAAAAAAAGAAAGGAAGGAAGAAAGTAGTAGAGAAAGGTGAATCTGACTATGTAAGATGGTGCAGGGTCTTAACTGGCTACTTAGAGAGTTTGAACTCTAGTATAGGCAATAGGGAGCCATAGAAGGTTTTGGAGCAGAAGAGTTACAGGGTGAATTCTAGAATAACGTTGATGATATTACTATTTGCTGAACACCAGCCATGTGCCTGGACCTTTTTCTTTGGTCTTATTTAATC